TTTTCTTGATGTTGAAATGTAATCTATTCTATAGGCTGTAGACATTGATCTTCTCTTCAGCAAGTGTTTCAAATCCTCCTCATTTTCAGCAAGGAAGCTGTATCATTTGTATGTCGGGGGTTGTTGACACTTCCTCCAATTCTGATGCCACATTCTTCTTCATAAAGTGCAGTTTTTCAAATTAAACAGATTGAAGTATGGAGAAAGCATACAACCCTAACATACTCCTTTCCTGATTTTAAACCATGCAATGTTCCCTTGTTCTGTTTTCACAAAGGTTTCTTGATTTAGGTATAAGTTTGCATGAGTAACATTAGGTGTTCTGGATTCCCATTCTTCTTAATGTTAGTCATAATTTCTTATGATCTACATTGTAAAATGCCTTTGCATAGTCAATACAGAATGAATAAAAGTTTTTCTGGTATTTTTGCTTTCAGCCAAGATCCACCTAACATCAGCAATGATTTCCTTTGTGCCATGTCCTCTTCTCAATCCAATTTTAATTTCTGGAAGTTCCTTATTGATATACTGTTCCAGTTGCTTTTTTAATAATCTTCAGAAAGACTTTGATTATACGTGATAGTAATTATATTCATTTCCACACTCTAGTTTTTTCTTTAAATAGGGACAAATACGTATTTATTAAAGTCAGTTGGCCAGGTGGCTGTCTTCCAAATTTCTTGGCAAAGAGCTGTAAGCACACCTAAGGCTGTATCTATTTGTTGAAGCATCTCAACTGAAGTCTCATCAATTCCTGAGGCTTTTTTTTCTTTTTACTAATGCCTTCAGTGAAGTTTGAAATTATTCCTTCATTATTGTTCTCTTGATGATGTGCTACTTCCTAAAATGGCTCTATGTGTATTCCTTCTATCTTCTTTTGAAAGTGATGCTTCCTGTATCACTCATGATTTTTCTTAAGAAATCCCTCAGTATTAAAACTCAAGGCTTAAATTTGTTTTTTGGTTCTTTCAGCTTAAGTAATGCCAAGTGTGTTCTTACATTTTGGTTTTCTATCTCTAGCTCTTTACACATCTTCTAGAATCTTCTGTTTCAAATTCTACCATGGCATCCTTGATATCATCCCATAACTTTTTGGTCATCAGTTATTAGCATTCAATGCATAAAATCTATTTTTGAGAATGTACTTGGGGTGGCGGGAGGGGTGTGGGGGAATTGTGTACCAGGGAGGGAGTGTTTCTTTTACTTTTGAAAGAGAGGAGCGAACTGGGGGTGGGGGCAGCTGGTCAGGGAGAGAAGTGCAGCAATGAATAAATGGAAATCCAAAATCTCTGTAAATGCTCATTAAAATTATTTTTCAAAAATCTATTTTTGAGATGATTTTTAAATTCAGATTAAAGTTTTCAACCACTTCATTTCACTATAATTTACAATAACATTCATCATCCCAGGATTCAAGAAATCAAAAGATGTGTTGCATTGGGAGCATCTGCTGTCAAGGACCTCTCCGAAGTACTAGAGAGCATATCAGTTTAAAGATTAAGATTTCCCTGATCTGAAAATACCATGGTCTTTTCAATTACTTCCTATGCATTAAAAAGGAACATTAAATTATCCTATGGACATTGAGTAGGGATTACAGAAGAAGAATTTATGCTTTTGAGTTGTGGTATTGAAGGAAAGTACTGATTATTCCATGAACTGCTAAAAGAATAAACAACTCTATCTTAGAGGAAGTGCAAACAGAGTGCTCCTTAGAGGCAAAAATGATGAAACTATACCTTACTTACTTTGAGTATGTTGTCATTAGGGCCAGTCCTTGGAAAATGACATTATGCTGGGAAAGGTGGAGGGTTTGAGAAGAAAAGGAAGACCTCCAACAAGAGGAATTGACATATTTATTCTAACAATGGGCTGGAGCGTACTAGAACTTGTGATTATAGGCATGACAGAGCAAGGTTCAGATCTGTTGTTCATAGGCTTGATATGAGCCATAGTCTACATGTTAGCACCTAACAACAATATCTGGACCCTTTCCTGAGTTTCTTTGCTGAGTGAGGATTTTAGAGACCCTAGGGAAAAAACTAACAATGTTGTGAGTAACAAGATAATATTCATACACATACAAGGAAGTGCAGTGAATATTACTGTCATTCAACTATATGCACCAACGACCAGAGCCAAAATGGAGGAGATAGAAGATTTCTACCAACTTTTGCAGTCAGAGATTTATTGGACATACAATCAAGATGCATTAATAATAATGGGTGACTGGAATACAAAAGTTGGGAGCAGAGAAGAAGGATCAGTTGTTGGGCAACATGGACTTGGTGACAGAAATGAGGCTGGAGATAAAATGATAAAATTTTGCACAATCAACAACTTATTCATTACAAATACATTTTATAAGAAATATGAATGCAGGCTATACACATGGATTTAACCTGATGGTACACACAGGAATCAAATAGATTACATCTGTGGAAAGAATCGCTGGAGAAGCTGAATATTAGCTGTGAAAACTAGGCCAGGTGCTGACTGTGGAACAGATCGCTCAAATGCAAGTTCAAGCTGAAGCTAAGGAAAATGAAATCAAATCCACAGGAACCAAAATGAGTCTATCCCACCTGAATTTCAAAACCATTTCAGGAACAGGTTTGAGGCCTTGAACACTAATGAACCAGATGACCTGTGGAAGGATATCAAGAATATCATCCAGGAATAATGCAAAATTTTATTACAAAGACAGAGGAGGAAGAAAAGACCGAGATGGATGTCAGAAGAGAGTCTAAATATTACAATAGAAAACCAACAAGCCAAAGCAAAGGGAAGAAATCAAGATATTAAGGAGCTGAAACAGAAGATTTCAAAGGGCAGAGTAGGAAGACAAAGTATTACAATGAAATGTGCAAAGGGCTGGAGTAAAAAAATCAAAGGGGCTGAACTTGTTCAGCATTTCTAAAGCTAAAAAAAAAATTTCAAGCTTCAAAATGATCCAGGAAACATTAAAAGAAAATAGAAAGATTATACAGAGTCATCATACCAAAAGGAATTGGCGGACACAGCAGAATTTCATGAAACAACATATGAGAGCATGTGGTGATGAAGGAAGAAGTTCAAGCTGCTCTGAAAAAAAATGTCAAAAAAACAAGATCCCAGGAACTGATGGCATACATATGACGTATTTTAACAAACAGACGCTGCCCTGGATGTGCTCACCAAGTTGTGCGATGAAATCTGGAGGACAACCACCTGGCCCACTGACTGGAAGAGATCTATGTTTGTTCCCATTCCAAAGAGAGGTGACCCAAGAGAGTGGGGAAATGATCTAACATTATCATTGATATATGCAAGCAAGATTCTGTTGAAAATTATCCAAAAATGACTGGAACAGCACATCAACAGAGAACTGCCTGAAGTACAGGCTGGGTTTAGAAGATGCTGCGGTACTAGGGATATTATATCTAATGTTAAATGACTCTTGGCTAAAAGCAGGGAGTACCAAAGGAATGTCCATCTGTGTTTCATTGACTATGCAAAGGCATTTGACCGTGTGGATCACAACAAATTGTGGCTGACTCTGTGTGGAATATGGATCCCAGAACACTTGTTTGTGCTTATACAAAGCCTATTCTTGGACCAAGAGGCAGTTGTCAGAGCAGGGAAACACACTATGGTTCAAAATTGGGAAGAGTGTGTGCCAGGAATGTGTCATGTCTCCATATCTCTTTAATCTATATGCAGAACAGATTATCCAGGAGGCTGGAAGCTGGGCTCTATGAGGAAAAATGTGGCATTAGGATTGAAGGAAGACTCATCAACAATCTGTGTTATGCAGATGACACAACCTTCCTTGCTGAAACTTAGGAGGACCTGAAGCACATGCTGTAAGAGGTCAAGGACTGAGGCCTTCAATATGAATTGAAACTCAACATCAAGAAAACAAAGATACTTGGCACTGGGTAGATTGGCAGTACAGTGATAGTTGGTGAAGGGAATGAGATTGTTAACAGCATTAGTTTACTTGGCTCCACAATCAACTAAAGGTACCAGTAGCCAGGAAATTAAAAGACACATTGCATTGGGAAAGTGTGCTGTCAGAGACCTCTTCAGAGTTCTGAAGAACAGCAATGTCAGTCTGGAGACTAAGGTGCACCTGATCCAGGTAATAGTCTTTGCATTTACTTGCTATGCATCAGAAAGCTGGACAATGACTAGGGATGATAGAAGGAGAATTGATGCCTTTGATCTGTAATGCTGGAGAAGAGTATTGAATATGCCATGGACTGCTAGAACAAATAGGTTTTTCCTAGAGAGGGTGAGACCAGGTTGTTCCTTGGAGGCAAGGATTCTGAAGCTTCATTTGACATACTTTGGACATGTTGCAAGGCGAGACCAGTCCTTGGAGAGGGACGTCATGCTTGGGAGGGTGGAGTGACAGCACAAGAAAGGAAGACCCTGGAGAAATGTATTGATTTAATGACTGAGGTAATGGAAGTGGGTGTGTCAGAGACAATAAGATTGGCATAGGATAGATCAGGGTTTAGGACTTTTGTACATAGGGTCGCTATGATTCTCAGGCAACTCGATGGCACATAACAACAACAGGGGGAAACCACAGGTAGGCGAAAGGGGCACACATGGATATTTTCCAGAGAGGGACGGAGATCAAGGCCTCATTTGCAAGCCTGCCTTGTGAGTCTGGACATTCTTATAAGAACACTGAGGTGCAGGAATATTGAAGCCTTCAAGAGTGTTGGCAGGAGGATGGTGGACTAGATTTATTCCTCATAAAGGATGTGACTTTACATGGAATTTGAACCTTACATTGAAAACTCACTAGTTGAGTGTATGATTTTGAATGAGGTTCAAAGAAAAAACCAATTTCCTTTCTATAACAATGGAGAGAATGTTCTTCAGATTACATGAGATAAGTGCTTGGAAGGTATTCCATATGGGGCAGGTTGTGGAAGGGCCACAATATTGAATATTGAATGTTGCTGTTATTGTTTCTTGAACTCAACTCATGTTTTTCTTCACAGCAAAATTGGCTCGAGATGACCAAATTCACACTCTCAAACAACACCGACATAAAGAACTGGAAGCACGGCAAAAACAGTATCGGTGAGTTACAACACAGTAGTCCTGGAACTACGCTCTTCTGTACTGAGTGCACAATATGTTCACGGTTCATGGTCCATCCCTGTTGGCAAGATACCAAGGAACACATCTACCCTAGTTTCTCACATTCATAACTTTATATTATTTAACAATCCCAATAGAAATAGCAGTAGTAATGAGGAATATGGAAAAACTTGGAATTAACTCTGCTGAAGTTTGGAAGAATAAAGCTTGAGTTTCTCTTATTATTTTTTAATCTCCCTTTCTATGTATACATAAAGATTTATATATTTGTATATAGCTTTTAGATTTAGCTTGGGGGTGTGCCCTGGCCAATGCAGCCTGAGGTTACCTGCTGATCAAACATACAATCAAGATGCATTGATAATAATGGGAGACTGGAATGCAAAAGTTGGGAACAGAGAAGAAGTTTCAGTGGCTGGAAAATATGGGCTTAGTGAGAGAAATGTGGCTGGAGATAGAATGATAGAGTTCTGCACATTCAATGATTTATTCATTGCAAATACCTTTTACAAGAAACATAAACACAGGCTATACACATGGATCTCACCTGATGGCATGCATAGGAATCAAATAGATTACATTTGTTGGAAAGATTCGGTGGAGAAGCTCAATATCAGCAGTGAAAACCAGGCCAGGTGCTGATTGTGGAACAGACCACCAACTACTCATATGCAAATTCAAACTGAAGCTGAGGAAAATTAAACTGAATCCAAAGCAACCAAAATGTGACTTTGAGTCTATCCCAC